GTTATATTTTCAAGAAACTAATTTAAAAATATTAAAAGGCTAAAACTTGCTACATTCAAACATCAACAAATATCTTAGGGGTATCGATAATAGAAAAATTTTGTAATTAATAATATTATTGAAATATATGGCACCCCCCAAAAAAAGCAAGTTTCAAAAGGCCCATTATCCAACTTTCTTTGGAAAATTAAATTACTAAAGACCACTATGCTAACATCACTTCTCTAATCCCAGATTATCCAAAAGGTGCCTTGGAACCACACAGAGTGGAAGAATGTTTTTCTGAGTCTGACTGGTGACATTAAATCGATGTGTGACTATAAACAATGACTTGACCTCTCCAGCCCTTGATTTCCCTTCTGTAAGATAGGAGAGGAGGAAGCCTAAAATTTTCAGGGTCTCTATTTAACCTCTAAATCATTTATCACGTAGATGGTAAGACAAAGTTAAAAAAATTCACCTTAAAAACTAGATTAAATGTTTACCTTTGGAAGCATGTGATCCACTTTTGTACATTTCACTAAATTTATATAATATCTTTTGCCCACTACAGAGCTCAAATCCAAACTTTATATTTGGATTTGGTAGACTGTATCTACCAAGTCTTTGCCAGTCTTATTTTATCAATGTTTTCTATAAGGCACTTCAAATTATGTGAGAGTGAAAATTTTACCAATGAAGAACTAAAGGGATATATTACATGATTATATTACTGAATTTTCTTAGATTTTTCAATAAGTCAAAGTCCAAGAACATTTCTGAAATTCTTTTTTATTAATAAAATGTCTGCTTTCAGAAGACATTTTCTAAACCATTTCTCTAAAGATCCTGAATGCAACTCCGAGGAAAACTTTTAATAAGTAAATGCACTAATTTCTATCAATGAATATGGCTGCTCTCTCATGACCCACAAAGATCAAGTTTTTTTACTTTTAAATTAGCAGTGTTCTCTTTATATGTTTCATGTCACCTCTAAGTCATAAAATTCAGAGAGAACAAAAAATATTCTGGGTTCCAGTTTCAGATGGTGGTATAGGAAGATCCTGAGCTCACCTCATCCCCCAAACACAAGGAATCTACAACTACATGTGGAATAATTCCCTCTGAAGGGTACCTGGAAACTGAATAAACAGCCTCCACAATAAGGGACAGCACTGAGAAGGGTAGGAGAGGCAGAAATATGGCTCCACTACGAGAAAACCACACATTAGCCGAGGCATTTCACGGTCAGGAGGGATCTCGAGGGCACGAAACTTTTCACTGAAGAACCAAGTTTTCAAGCCCCACTCAGGCACAGGATCCTGTACAAGAGAGACAAGCCCCCAAAACACCTGTCCTTGAAAATCAATGACTAATACATCCAGGAAAACTGTAGAACTGCAGAGAAAGAAAAACCCTCTCCTAAAGGGCTCACACAGACTCACTCCACCCAGAAATTAGCTCAAAAACACCAGACAGCAAAGCACATAAACGACAGGTGAAGGAGTCCAGCTTATTAATCAGAAAGTGCCTTCAAGAGAAACAGGAGGCAGTTGAGACTTTCTCTGGGGACTGGGACACTGGTGGAAGCCATTTTCGCAATCTTGTTCTGCCATGTTCACTCAGCACTAGTGAGTGCCATTTTGGAATCCCCCTGCCAGCCTGCTAGAGCCAGGGATACACCCTCTGACAGTTCTGCCCACCAGTATGACTCAGCCAGATCTGCAGCTGGCTGGGTGATAACCCCACCCACCAGTGCTCCCCCAGAAATTGCCACCCTGTTACAACAGAAGGGCACATGCAGCCCACGCAGGAGACACCCCTGGAGCACCTGACTCTGGTGGCCAGAAGCAGATTGCCCTACTGGGCCCCACAGGACATCTCCTACACAAGGCTACATCTTTAAGACCAGGAAATAAATGAAATAGCAACTAAAAATAAAAAATAAAAAATATCAGTGAAACTAAAAGCTGGTTCTTTAAAATGATAAAATTGATAAACTCTCACCTAGACTCAAGAATAAAAAAGAGAAAGGGCCCAAATAGATAAAATCAGAAATGAAAGAGAAGTTACAACTAATACCACAGAAATACAAAGGATTATCAACAAATACTTCAATTATACACTAACAAAATGGACAACCTAGAAGAAACTAATAGATTTCTAGAAACATACAATCTTCCAAGGCTGAATCATGAAGAAACAGAAAATCTAAATGGCATGATTACTAATCATGATTGAATCAGCAATGAAAAAACTTCCAACAAACAAAAATCCAGGACCAGACAGCTTCACTGGTGAATAAATTCTACCCAACATTTAAAGAGTTAATACCTATCTTTCTCATCTACTCCAAAAAATTGAAGAGGTAGGAAAACTTCTGAACTCATTCTACAAAGAAAGTATTAACCTGACACCAAACTAGACAAAGCACTACAAAAAAAGAATATTGTAGGCCAATATCCCTGATGAACACAGATGCAAAAATCCTCAACAATATATTAAAAGGATCATAAACCATGATCAAGTGAGATTTACTTCAGGGATATAAGGATGGTTATATCTGCAAATAAACAATATGATACACCATATTAACAAAGGATAAAAATTATATGATCCTCTCAATAGATTCAGAAAAAGCATTTGACAAAATTCAACATCCATTTATTATAGAAACTCTCAACAAACTGGATATAGAAAAATCTCAACATCAAAAAGACCATATATGACAAATCCACAGCTAAAATCATACTCAATGGTAAAGAGCTAAAAGCTTTTCTTCAAAGATCAGAAACAAGACAAGGATGTCCACTTTTGCCACTTTCATTCAACGAGGCACTGGAAGTCCTAGCCACAGCAATCAGACAAGAAGAAGAAATAAATGGCATCCAAAATGTAAAGGAAGAAGTAAAACTGTCCCTATTTGCAGAAGACATGATACTAAATATAGAAAATCCTAAAGACTCCGCCAAAAAACTATTTGAACTAATAAATGAATTTAGAAAAGTTGTAGGATATAAATATACAGAAATCTGTTGCATTGCTATACACTAATAACAGGCTACCAGAAATAGAAATTTAAAAAACAATTCCATTTACAATTGCATCAGAAAGAATAAAATACCTAGAAATGAATTTATCTGAGGAAATGAAAGACCTGTACTCAGAAAACTATAAAATATTGATGAAAGAAATTGAAAATGACACAAACAAATGAAAAGATATACCGTGCCCACGAATTGGAAGAATTAATATTGTTAAAATGTCCATACTACCTGTGGCACATTACAGATTCAATACAATCTCTATTAAGATGCCAATGGCATTTTTCACAGACCTAGAACAAATAATCCTAAAATATGTATGGAATTACAAAAGATCCTAAATACCCAAAGCAATCTCGAGAAAGAACAAAGCTGGAAGTATCATGCTTCCTGATTTCAAACTATACTACAAAGCTATAGTAATCAAAGCAGTATGATAATGGCACAAAAACAGACACGTAGATCAATGGAGCAGAACAGTGAGTCAAGAAATAAATCCACACTTGTATGGTCAGTTAACCTATGAAGCAAGAAAATTAAACGGGGAAAAGACAATAAACAGTGTTGGGAAAACTGGACAGTTACAGGCAAAAGAATGAAATGGGAAAACTTTTTTGCACCATATACAAAAATAAACTCAAAATGTATTAAAGACTTAAAAGTAAGAAGCGAAACCATAAAACTGCTAGAAGAAAACATATACAATAAACTCTTTGGCATCAGTCTCAGAAACAACTTTTTTGGATCTGTCTCCTCAGGCAAGGGCAAAAAAGCAAAAACTAAACAAATGGAACCACATCGAATAAAAAGTTTTTGCACAGTGAAGGAAGCCATCAATGAAACAAAGAGGCAACCTACTGAATGGGAGAAATATTTGCAAATGATATATCTGATAAAGGGTTAATGTCTAATATGTGTAAAAAACTCATATAACACAATATCAAAAAACAATCTGATTGAAAAATGGACGGAGGATCTAAATAGACATTTTTCCAAAGAAGACATATAGATGGTCAACAGGCACACAAAAAGATGCTCAACATTGCTAATCATCAGGCAAATGAAAATCAAAACCACAATGAGATATCATCTCACACCTGTCTGAATAGCCATTACCAAAAAGACAACAAATAGCAAGTGTTGATAAGAATGTGGAAAAAAGGGAACCCTCGTACACTGTTGGTGGGACTGTAAGTTGGTGTAGCCACTATGGAAAGCAGTATGGAGTATATTTTTTCCTCAAAAAATTAAAAAATATAACTACCATATGATCCAGTAATTCTGCTTCTGGGTATTTATCCAAAGAGAGTGAAAACACTAATTCTAAAAGATATGCACACCTATGTTTATTGCAGCATTATTTACAGTAGCCAAGATATGGAAGCAAAGTAAGTGTCTACAGATAGATGAATGAACAAAGAAGATGTGATACACACACACACGTGGCATATTACTCAGCCATAAAAAAGAATGAATTCTCATCATTGGCGACGACCTGGATAGACCTAGAGGGTATTACACTGTGAAACAAGTAAGACAGAGAAAGACAAATACTATATGATTTTACTTATATGTGGAATCTGAAAAACAAAACAGACCAACAAACAAATCGACAAACTGACTCACAGAGAACGAACTGATGGTTGCCAAAGGGGAATGGGTGAAATAGGTGACGGGATTAAGAAGTACAGTTATAAGATAAATAAATCACGGGGGTGCAATGTAAAGCACAGGAAATATAGACAATAATATTGTAAAAACTTTGTATGGTTACAGATAGTTACTAGACTTAGCATGATGATCATTTTGTAAGTATATAAATTACAAATCACTGCTGTTACACCTAAAACTAATATGTTGTATGTCAACTATACTTCGATAAAAAATAAAATATGTTGCTTTCAAAAATATATATATTCTGCAGAATGAATTAGAAGTAGGCATCTGAACTATAAACAATCATAGGAGACCATTTACCTGAACAAACAAAGCAATGATGGCAATTCCATGCGGCTTTCCCACAGCCTCATCGATGCTTCCGAACAGAGTGGAGTTCCAGTGGATCAGATGGAGCTGGGTGAGCAAACATAGACAGGCCGCCTCTTTACTTACTGTACTTCTATTCAGAAAAACAGAGCTATATCAACTTTCCTTACCCAGATTTATATAGTATATAAAGAGTATTCCAAACAGACACAAATGGACTGCTGCTTTAACACAGGTTCTCTGTAGGCATTCTTCCTTCTTATTTCTGACCAGAAGCAATGCTTCGTGGATTGCTGCCTCTGAAGTTCTGTTTTAGTCCTAATCAGGACCACATCTCAGGGAACTGGCAGATTTCACATTGATTTAGTTGCCTTTCCTTAAATGTCACCCCCCATGGATCTCAATGGAGCAAAATTCTGGGTCTGGACACAAACACTAAAATTCACTCAAAAGATTAGTACCTGTAGTATTTCCATCAAGAATAAGACAAAGCGGTCTCAAATTAAGGTAAATTATTTCAACTTTGTAAGAATATCCAAAGATAAGCTTCTATTAAGAAAAAAAAAAATGCTGCATCTTTTTAAAGGCATGGTAAAATAACGAATGCTGATATGGAGCTCTAAAAAAAAGGCCATTTCCTGCACTGGAGATAAAATTTTATCTGTGAAGGAATGACAAACAATGCTTAGAGGACTCTCTCACTCTTGGCCTCTAAAGCTACAGCTTTCAAGTTTATTGAGAATACGCACTTGTTTCTACAGCCCTGATAAAACACTTGCAAGAAGCCAAATTCAATTCCTTGGTTGAAATGAAATTAAATGGCCACTGAGATTCTTAGTATAACAGTAGCTAGGTAAACCTTCTGCCTAAACTATTATCTTCACCACTATAGCTTTTAATCAAGTTATAATTACTTACCACCTTAAAACACTGCCTCATTTAAAAATTAGCTGTAATCCAAAAAGACATAGCTAAAATTAAATCACCGTGTCATTTCAGTATCCATATTAAAATATTATGGAAAATTATCATGAGGATTAGCCACAAATTTGATTTTTTCCTAAGGCTAAATTTGTCCGAGAATTTGAGATTATAAAGCTGACCACTAGAGGGAGGTAATGAAATCCTCCGCCCATACAGTGTAGAAATGGTAACGTAGGAAAAGACTATACCCAAGGCCACGTTGTCAGGCTATGACAATAAACATAACTGTCTAGGTACTGTCTTTAAGACCGGCCAATAAACGTAACTGTCTAGGTACTGTCTTTAAGAAAACAATGCTTTATAACCTTTCAGTTAATAATGAAAGACAGACCAATTTTAATCTTTCCGTTTCCGGCTTCAACAATAGCAAGGAGTCCCAGTGGTGCAGATAAGTGTACAGTTGGTATAGATAAAAACTGATTGCCTTAATTAAATCAACAAAGAAGGCCCAAGGTTAAAATCTATTTTTATTTGAAAAATTACAAAGTTCAAATCAACATTTTTACTTACTTCTCAGAGCAACATTATGGAGTATTTTTTCTGATTCGAAGCAAATAAACCAAAAAAGCATGGTCTTTTTTTTCCCCACCCCTCACAATTCAGCAATATCATCACTCACACCAGTTCTTCAAAAGCTGCTTCACATTTTTTATGGGTTTAAAAAATTGAGGGTACTCACTCTGTAAAGAGATGCTGCACGCGGTGACTCCATTTCAAAGGGTAGAGCACAGAAGAGTAACTTTAGAGTGGAGAAACCTCACACACACTATCTGAAGCAGGTGATCAAGGTCAACACCAACAGTTTACCAGCCATGTTGACAGCAGGCACCCTTGATGCGATGTGATGAAAATGACACTTTGCCTCTGTGGTCTTCCTCCCAACAACCCGTAACCCAGGCAAATCACGAGAAAACCATTAGACAGCTCTCAGGAGGGGAGCATTCTACAAAATACTTGACCAGTACTCCTGAAAACTGTCAAGGTCATCAAAAACAAAGGAAGCCTGAGAAAATGTCACAGCCAAGAGGAGCCTAGGGACACATGAGAACTAAACGTAATATGGTATCACAGGGAGATCTTGGAACAGAAAAAGGACATTAGTTTAAAGAAAACTGATTAAAATAAGGACTTATGTAGAGATTTTGGTTCACTATTTATAATAAATGTAACATGCTAATGTAAGATGTTAATAAAGTAGAAACAGGGTATGGGTTATACAGAAACTCTGTACTATCGCCGCAATTTTCCTGTAGATCTAAAAAAAACTCTAAAAAATACAGTCTGTTAAAAAAAAAAAGAAAAGAAAGAAAAAGAAAAGAAAAATTAAGGGAAAATGCTGGCACTTCGGCCAACCCAAGCTAAAAAGGATAAAGGAAGATTGATCGCCATGACCCTGTGCGAGCAGCACAATAACACAAAACGAAAATAGCACGAGCACTTCTGCCACCGTCTGGGTCGGAAATAATCACGTCAGACTTGGAGGACAGAAGAGAGTCTTCCCTCACAGTCAACAAGGATCCCAAGCTTGGAAAACAAAGCTCTGTCCTAGTGCTGACTGAGAATCCCTCTTCCCTTAGAGGCTCTTTCTCTCATTTTAAGACAAAACAAAATATCATCGGAGATCCCCTTTCCAAACCATTTGAGGATGGTTGATTCAAGTACCAAGCAAATTTCCAACATATCCTGGAAATCGGCTGTAACCTAGTATGAATGAGTAGTAACTTAGATGCACAATCCACAAACCTAACACTCCACGTTTTATTGCCCCTCAGCTTTAGCTCTCCTGGTGCTCCCGGACCCTTCCTCACTCCACCTGTATTAGGTGCTAGCGCTTCCATAACAAAGTACCGTAGACTGGGTGGTGTAAACAACAGATATTTAGTTTCTCACAGTTCAACGCTGGACCCAAGATCAAGGTGTCAGCGAATTTGGTTCCTTCTGAGGCCTCTCCCCTTAGTTTGTAGATTGCTGCCTTCCCCCTGTGCCCTCACATCATCTTTCATCTGTGCATGTCTGTGTCCACATTTCCTCTTCCTACAAAGACGCCAGTCATACTTGATGAGGGCCTGCCCTAATGACCTCATGTCAGCCTAATTACCTCTGTAAAGACCCTGTCCCCAAATATGGTCACATTCTGAAGTACTAGGAGTTAAGACTTCAACATATGAATGGGGGGGGGACACAATTCGGCCCATAACATCATTTATCTCACCCTTTCCCCACCTAAATGAAGTTTTTTGAGATCTCAAAAGCTTGAATTGTTCATATCAGCTTCTGTTCTCCCATAGCCCCTTCTTTATCCCTATCTTCTTATATTCTGCCATATATTAGTGTCGTTTGCTCCATAAAGCAAAGTCATAGAGACAGGGAAACTATCAGCACACGTGAAGGACACGAGTACCTTTGTGGGTGGCTACAAGGTACATGACTCTGGCAGTAATGTGAAAGTTGAGGCTGGAAAATTAGAGGGGTTCAGACTGTACAGAGCTTTAAATTTCACCATAACTATGTTTTTGGAAATACTAAGGCAATAGGTTATTGCAGCAAATATTATTACTTATGCATCTTTAAATCAAACCAACTCCCCTATACCAATGTCTTACCTTCAAAGGTCCTTTGAAGGATGGACTGGAAGTGGTAGACATGGGAGGCTGGAAGATAAGTTAGGAAGCTACCACATAAGTTCCAGCTAAAAACTTATGATAGGGATGTGGGATGGTTAATTTTATGTGCCAACGCGGCTATGGCGCCCAGATGTTTGGTCAAACACCACTCTAGATACTGCCGTGAAGGTAATTTTTAGATATGATAACATTGCAATCAGTAGATTTGAGTAAAGCAGATTAGCCTTCATAATACGGATGGGCCTCGTCTAATTAGTTAAAGGCCTCACAAATGAAGACTGAGGTCCCCCAAAGCAGAAGCAATTCTAACTCCAGATTATAACATAAAAATTCTACCTGAGTTTTCAGCCTCTGGTCTGCCCTGCAGATTTGGGACTTGTCGGTTCCCACAATCACATGAGCTACTACCTTAAAATAAACCTTAATTCATCTTGACAGATGATAGATAGATAGATAGATAGATAGATAGATAGATAGATAGATAGATAGATAGATAGATAGATAATATTCTATTTCTCTGGAGAAACCTGACTAATACAGGTTGTGCAAACAAACCAAAAAAAAGTATGAAGAACCTGAACAAGAATACTAGTACGAGGAATGAAGACAAAGGGCTCTAACAATTAAAGTGACAATATCTGGAATTTATTCTCCTAAGACTATAAACACGGTTTCTTTGGAGAAGGGAAATGGGGACATAACGATCCGCTGAGGATCAGAAAGAACATATTAGAACTTCTACTCGTATTTTATCCAATGCCTTTTTTATTTCAATTTTTCTATATCTCACCAAATGGATTTAATAATACATATTAGTTGGTGAATGTGATTTATTAATAAATATGCATATATTAAAGATATGTGCTCCAAAATTTCTTTAGAAACAAATGGTTCGAATGGAAAGGCATATGATACTAAGAATAGCATGTGATAATAAAAATATAGAAAATGAAGAAGTGGCCCACTGAGTCCAAGGGAGGCTTTAAAAAGGTCCAAGCAGACAGTTCTTATCAGTCGAGGGAGTCTTGGGACTAGCTTTAAGCCTGACCGTGAGATGGCTCTGGGGCGTGCCTGGTCTACAGCAGAGTACAAAATGGAGACGCAGGAGCACGGCACACCTTTGCAACTCACTGATAAATTCTTAGAGGCAACGTGCTCTCATAGGAGACCTCTGAGCTAAACATCACAAATCTTAGACTCTTGTTTTAGCTCCACATCTCTTTAGCTCTGTGAACGTCACAAGGCACTAACTTCTTTGAGCACCGGTCTCTCTAACATCAAGGACAGCTACATCTTAAAAGCTTGGCTTCTTCACATCTGTCATCTCATTGTACTCTCTTTATTTCTACATTATTATCACATTTCATTGTCATTAGCATTAGTCTTATGTAGCCAACAAAGGCACAGAAACAGAGTGACGGATTTTGAGAATGGAGAGCTGCTCACCAGTTTACAGAGAAGGCCAAGTACATAAATGTC